AGCACTGATAACGTCCAATGTCACATAGTATGGAAGCTTACACGGTATTAATATACCAATGCCTTTAATTCATTATTTATTCATTCAGGTCCAAAATTTCAGAATTATTAATTTTTCAAAGACTACTTGATTGGGTAAGTCATAAAAACTACATATTGTTAGAGATTCTACAAGTTGCAGAAGCTGTTGGTTAGGTTTGTTGGGTTAGTTTTAATTCTGTTAAACTTTCTAGTAAGGGTGATAATTCTTGTCGGGTTAATATTAATATTGGTAGAAATGACTCCAATTCTAACAAGACCCATGATATGAACGGGTTGAGAAATCTCAACCCTAATACGATCAGCCTAAATTAACACGGGTTGACACTAACACAACTTGCATGAACCCGTAATTTTTGTGATATACGATCCACAATCAACCCGTAACCTGTCAATAACTTATGATTTTTTTTTATTTTAAATCTACAATTTATGCATAAAATCATATAAAAAACGTAAAACACATATGTTCTGAAAATTAGATCAACTTCATACTATAACAACTAATTAAACCCTAAAAGTTCAAAACACATTCAACCAAACTAGGAAAAAAAATATTTTTAAAATAATAGAATAATTGAGTAGGTCAATTTAGTGTCACGCGGGTTGACATGAACATGACCCTTTTTTTATGAGTCAATTTCGGGTTGACACTAAGATGATATGTTGTTTATTTTTTGACACAAATCCGTAAAAAATCGTATCGTGTTTGTGTTGTGTAATTGTATCGTAACCCAGATTCTCAGCCATACTTTTTAATATATATACTAGGATTGTTTTGCTAAGAAAAAAAAAAGGAAGTTTTAAGGAATTTTTAAAACTTAAAACTAGGATTTTTTTTTTCTAATATATACTAGGATTTTTTTTAAGGGGTATACAAGGAAGGTTTTTTTTTTTTTTTTTTTCCTAAAAAAAAAAAAAAGTTACACTCATACCATATAAAGAAGAAATCCACGTATCCATGTTCTCATCGTTTTTTTTTTTGTTTTTGTTTTTTTTTGTTGTGTGTGGGGTGACTGGGTGTCAATATTCTGAAAGTAATATAATATGAAAGGCATTGGGGAACAGCTTGTGACCACTTCTAAAAGATATCACACGTAATCCCTAACGGAGAACAACTTGTGACTTTTACGTCACAAATTTAGCTGGCCAAATGGCAAACGCGAATTACTTGCTTTTTTAATTTCTTAACGTTATGGACATTCGTATTCCATCAGCACTACTACTTACTTTTCTTTTGGATGGACAAGTTAATTCCGTCTTCCTATTGTCATGTTGTTTTTAGTGCTTAGTCCCGTTTACTTTACCGATTCGAGTTTAAAATTTGAGTTTTACTATAGTAAAAAATTCTCAGAAATAGTCACATCTAATTTTTTTGCTACAGTAAAAAATTCTCACATAAAGTCACATCTCAACTCGAATTAAAAACTCAAATCAGCGAACTAAACGAAGTGTTGATCAAATTACAATTAAGACTAGACTACAAAGCTCCAATATGAGTTTATTTAAAGCCAAGGTTCCATCATGATCTTGTGCATGCCCTACCCTACTGGTAGCGCCTTGCATGTTTTCAGTTACCTTTAAATCTATATCAAGTGTTGTCAATTTTCATAATTTTTTTTATTTTCACAGGATTTTAAACAAATTTAATGTTCAGAAACACATTCCATTATTAATAAAAAGTTTCAAATAATTGGCCTAAAAAAGCAGCTTCTATGAATAGTGCACGAATTTCCTAGTTCGTTTTGGATGAGATTGATCCTAGAAATCTCGCTGGATATATATCCAAACACTTAGGGCGCGTTTGAAATCCGTTCTAAAATAATTTTATTTTTTGTATGAAAATGAAAATGAAAACGTTTTCAATCTCGCAAATGCGTTTGGTTGGTAGATTCGTGCCATGGTTCGGATCATAATTCGTGACTCGCTACAGAAGTTTTTATTTTATTGTGTCTTAGTCAAAAGTATAATAGTAGATTGTCTGCCACTTCTGTAAAAGTGGTTCTATCTTTTGTATAATTAGTCACAGTCGAAATAGTAGGGAATCCGCTGAGGATATTAGGTGTTTGGATATATATCCAGCGAGATTTCTAGGATCGATCTCATCCAAAACGATCTAGGAAATTCGTGCACTATTCATAGAAGCTGGTTTTTTAGGCCAATTATTTGAAACTTTTTATTAATAATAGGACCTGTTTCTGAAGATTAAATTTACCAAAAAAAAAAAAAAAAAAAAAAAAAAAAAAAAAAGCTGGAATAAGCTGAGGGTCGTGCATGGTTTGTTTTCCATACTCTTTTGTTTTTTTTTTTGGTAGAAGTTTTTTTCCCATACTTAAATGAAAGAAAACGCGCAAGTTAACTTGCAAAAACATATAATAGTAAGTCGGCACCTTGCAGTACTCGTACTTGACCATAATATATTGGAGACCACAAACTTGCAGATAGTTGAAGAATCCAATACCAAAGGACTCCATTAATTAGCTGGCTGTTAATTGTTTGCATTATTGCTTGACGTGTCGTCAATTTATTAACGAGACAACGCGAAATGAGGAGGATTTTAAGGACAAGATTTAAGCTCTGTTTATTTCATCAATTTGTATTGAGAATTCGAGTTTTGTTACAGTAAAATATTCTCAGAAACAGTTACATTTAATTTTTTTACAACAGTAAAAAACTCTCACATCTTAACTCAAATTAACGAGCCATCCCTCAAAGAATGAGTATATATCCTTGACTTTTCTTAGTCCAATATTAATCTCATAATATGTATTGTCAATAATACAACAATAGGTATTAAGGTCTGTACGTAATCGGGAATGAATCTCCATCGTAATGTTGTTATTGAATCCGACGCTATATCTAGCAATGTTGTGGTCTTTGCAACTTGTTCATGCTTCTGGAAGTTGACAGTGCAATTCTTTATGGCATGGCGTTTTTTGTGAGAGACGGTTTTCTATATCTGTTGATTACTTTTATATATGTCTAGAGTTCGGAATTCCAATGACTTCTTCTTCTTCTTCTTCTTCCTCTTCAACTTGTTCATGCTTCTGGAAGTTGACAGTGCAACTCTTTATGGCATGGCGTTTTTGATGACAGACGGTTTTCTATATCTGTTGATTACTTTTATATATGTCTAGTTCGGAATTCCAATGACTTCTTCTTCTTCTTCTTCTTCTTATTCTTATTTAAAAAAAAAAAATGGAAGGAAGTGTTGTAGCCTTTGAGGTTTGTCTGGATGGATTTTTAGCCCTATCTACACTCACGTATATAAATTAAAATATTAAATCAATAGGATACTGTTATAAAAGGTCACAACATGTTAGTTTACCGATCCATTCTAAAAGCTTAAGCTGTTAGGAGGTGGGCCAACAATAATTTTATACTTTAACACTCCCCCTCACGTGTGGGCTGGACAATTGGCAATCGTGTGGATAAATTAATTAAAAAGCCCAACACGTGAATATTTAAGCTTGAAATATATTAAAGACCCAACACATGATGGCAATTTAAATGGGGATAAGGAGTGCAGTTACGGGGGTTTGAATTTAGGACCTCCCGCTCTGATACTATGTTAGTTTACCAATCCATCTCAAAAGCTTAAGCTGTTAGGAGGTGGGCCAACAATAGTTTTATACTTTAACACTCCCCCTCACGTGTGGGCTGGACAATGGGCAATCGTGTGGGTAAATTAATTGAAAAGCCCAACACGTAAATATTTAAGCCCGAGATATATTAAAGACCCAACACATGATAATTTTAAATGGGGATAAAGAATGCAATTACGGAAGTTTGAACTCATGACCTCCCGCTCTGATACCATGTTAATTTACCAATCCATCCCAAAAGCCTAACACAACATTGATTAATCATGTACTACATAATTTAGACCAAATAACAGTATAGGCAATAACGTTCCCTGAAAATAGGAAAAAAAAAAAAAAAAAAGAGTGGGTGCTACTTAGTGAAGTATTTTCCTATCTCAAAAGTTAAGGCCTTGTTCATTTCACCGATTTGAGTTTTCAGTTTTAGGTTTCTACAGTAAAAAGCTCTCAGAAAATGTCACATCTAATTTTTTTTTGCTACAGTAAAAGCTCTCACAAAATGTCACATCTCAGCTCGAATTAAAAACTTGAATCCGCAAAGTGAACGAGGCCTAAATATTTAACAAGTGTTACCGTTACCGTAAAGCAAATGGTGAATTTTTAGATTGATCACACTAATCCTAAAAATAGGTAAATTATAATTGGAAAATAGTAGGAAATTATGCCAATATGAAAAGCTTAAGAAAATATATAGGCCATTTTTTAGTTATAGAAATTAATAGGTCATAACTTGTTAAGTTATGGTTCATAACTAGATAAGTTATGGACAAACTTGTCAAGTTATAGTTTATAACCAGATAAGTTATGGACAATAACTTATCAAGTTATGGTTCATAACTAGACAAGTTATGAACGAAAATAATAATTTAACCTTTTTATTAACTTATATAAACTATTGACCTATTAATTTTAATTCATCTCAAATCTTGACCTATTTCTCTCATTCTCCCATTATAATTATATAAAAAAAAAAGGTAAGTTATGATCAAAGAAGCAAATGAAGGTGTCCAAATCAAATCACCGACTGGGCATATATGCAAGAGAAGAGCCGAGTAAGACGATTGACCAATGACCATAATATTGCAGCCAAGCAGGCATAGAAATAGCAGTTTTACCTGCTTCAATCGGCGTGTGTCGACTCGGACCCAGTCTGTCACTCACATGGTCAATCCTCCGCCTCACCCCCTCCTTCAACATTTTTCAAACATTCAACGGTCAACATTCAAACTACTAAACCCAACCTGCCCTCTTTGATTCTTTTTCTTTTACCAAGCTTTGACCCGCGTTATATACTCTTTTCCCTCATTTTTCTAATTTAAAAACAAAAACCATATATATATATATATATAAACACACACACAAAACAACAACAACAAACCTTCCAGATTACTCAAGGATAACACAAGTACGAAACAAAGATAAGAAAAGACTTTACACAAACGCATATTTCTTTTTAACGAGCGAGCGATAATGATTCTGTCTTTGAGGAGAAGAAGAGCCAACAAGAAGAAAACCCAGATTCCGGAATCGGATTCTGAGATGACGGAGATAGTGATTCCGGCGCACTTCCGTTGCCCGATTACTCTCGACTTGATGAAAGACCCGGTAACTTTATCCACCGGAATCACCTACGACAGAGACAGCATCGAGAAGTGGATCGAATCCGGAAACCGCACGTGCCCGGTAACGAATCAGGTCTTGAAGAGTTTTGACCAGATCCCCAACCACACCATTAGGAGAATGATCCAAGATTGGTGCGTCCAAAACCGATCCCACGGCGTCGAACGCATTCCGACGCCGAGGATTCCGGTGACCCAGTACGAGGTTTCTTCGGTGTGTGAGAGAATCGCCATCGCTACGAGGAATAAAGACCGAAAGAGATGCCAGGAATTGGTGGGGAAGATGAAGATTTGGGCTAAGGAGAGCGAGCGTAACAGGAAGTGCATGGTCAACGGCGGAATCGGCCGCGTTTTGTTGTTGTCGTTTGAGGCTTTCGCTGTCGTTTTCTCCGCGGAGGAATTGGGTGAACAAGAGAGCGCGAACGTCCGGGTGTTGCTGGAGCAGATCTTGTCGGTTCTGACATGGGATGCAGATTCTTTAGGCGACGGGCTTAAAAACGACACGTCGTTGCGTTGCTTGGTGTCGTTTTTGCAAGGAAACGACCTCTCCGCGAGACAAAACGCGGTTATGGTGATCAAAGAGCTTCTCGCCTCAGATCAAGGACGTGACGTGGCGGTATCAATTGCTGAGATTGACGGAGGTGTCGAGGCTTTGGTACGGATGATAAGAGAGCCTGTTTCTCCGAAAGCCATGAAAGCTTCTCTCACGGCCGTTTTCCACATGATCAACACCAACAACGACACGAATTCGGTCAGGTCGAGATTTGTCGATCTGGGTTTGGTCTCTTTGTTGCTGGAGAACATCCTGGAGGGAGAAAAGGGCGTTTCGGAGAGGTCGTTGCGGGTTTTCAACGTCGTTTGCGACAGCGAAGAAGGGAGAGAGAAGGCGTACGACAATGCGCTGACGATCCCTCTAGTGGTGAAAAAAATTCTTAGAGTTTCCGACTTGGCATCGGAATTGCTGGTTTCGATTCTTTGGAAGCTTTGCAAGAACGCCAAGAGTAAAGAAGAAGATGATAATGATCGAGAAATCAGCGCTGTGGTTGAGGCGTTACAAGTGGGAGCTTTTGAGAAGCTGTTGGTGGTGTTGCAGATTGGATGTGGCTCGAAAACGAAGGAGAAAGTGACTCAGTTGTTGAAGCTTTTCAATATTTATCGCCAGACATTGAACTGTGATGATTCCTCCGCGGAGTTTAAGTACCTCAAGAAGCCATTTTGATCATCATGATGATCAGCTTTTCTTTTTGATTTTTGGTTTTAGAGAGACGGAAAAATGTACAAACGTATACACACAGGGTATCATACGATTTATCTGATAGTGCACAATATAATTTAGCTTGTAAATCAATAGACACAGAAACACAATTCAGACATTTTCAATTAAATGGTCCATTCATCAATTTTGTTTGATCTCTTATGTACATCGCCTTAGTTTTCTAAGTTTGTTTTCTCCTATGTCTTATGAAACTAAAGTCATACGTAGATTTACTACACAAACAGAGAAACAAAAAAAAAAAGAAAATTAACAGCTGGGGCTTAATTTTTAATTAATTCTATTTGTGGCGGTACTAATTGTTTCGGAGATAATCAACAACATAACCTCCCGTCCTCCAACATCGAGTCTTAAACTCGAGTCTTTCCACCTAAGATGAAAGAAAGTTGCATTTTTAAAGAGAATTTTCTTTTTCGTTTTCGTGTTAAATCGTTAACAACGTGACAATACACAGGAAGCAGCAATAAATTCTTAAACAAGAGGCCCATAACGCGTGTGGTTGGACGTCTTTATCTATTTTGTTACACCGGTAGTTGTTATCTTTCTTTCTTTCCTACTTTCTTTCCATTTCTTAATAACCATTTGGTAGCATACATAGTTTGACTGGTTCCTTCTGTTTCCTTTTATTCTTATTGGAGAAATGGGATTAGTATTCCACAATCATGCATTATTATTTATTTGAGCAAGGCTAACTTTTAGAAAACGAGGATTCTAGACAAACTGTTCATGTATTGTTTTCATTGGTCTAAAAGAAGAAAATTTTCTAATCAGGAGAAGAACCCGTAATCAACTTTATAACAGGATAAATATACATTGCAAAGTTGGATTGGTATTTCAATTTTCATCTATTTGAGATATAGGAAATGATCAATTCAGAATACATGAGATGGCTTATAGATTAATTAGCTTTGAACGCATAAAGAGCAGTGATCAATTACAAGATTTAATTAGCCTATAACAATAACATTAAGAATTAATCAAGCAAGAAAGAGGAAGCTCAATATCTGCAATATCAAATGATACGCCAAGGCAAACCCTCCTACCAGCACCAAATGGGATGAATTCAAAGTTAGTCTTTTGAGTCTACTGAACTGTTAATAAAACCTTTCTGGGTAAAACCACTCTGCTTCCTATTCACTATGATAGTTGTTCTGTCTGGTATTTGGAATCCATTTATCACACAGCTTTCTTTGCATTCTCTTGGAAGAAAAGAGGAGCTGGAGGATGTAATCTTAGAGTCTCTTTGATGATTAACTTTAAGTATTTCAATTCCCGGAGACTTGTTTCCTCGATATTTCCTTTTCTTCTGAACACTTCTCTCACTTCAAAAGAGGAGCTGGAGGATGTAATCTTAGGTCATGTTTTTTAAGTTTTAGTCCCCATACCACTTATCCAATGGAGCCAAGTTTGAGAAAGCAACACATTTGAAAGACTGAAACCTCCAGCAATCTAATGCATGATACAAATGTGTCTTGGTCTTGGCATTTGTTACCAAGGGAAATATTTTCTCGCAAAGATTAATGGACAAGCCTATATATATTCGAAACACATTTGATTAGACTGGATTCCTAGCTTCTTTTCTGATTGATTGGAACGAACTCGCGCATTTCGAACTTGGTGCAAAGTTTCCTCGGTTTTTCTCCATGGCCAGTAGTCACCAAAAAGCGCAAAAACAAGGTCTATTGCATAGTGCTTTCTTTAAGCAGGGAGAAATGGCTGAGCAAAGTTAATGTCGCGACATGATCAGTTCTCATCATCTCTTTTACGATCTCAGTCGAGGATATAAAAATATGTGAAACTTAACCAAGCTGTAGCTGCACAAGGGTCCATATTTCTTGGCCAAATCTCTCAGCAAATCATGGGGTAGAGAAATTGTGTTGGATCTCTTTCCTATTCTAAGCATCATTAATGAGAAAAATTGCAAAATGGACAAGAAAGTATGGGAATAGATGATCCATTTGGTGGTTTTGTTCATAGATGAGCCTACTTGTTCATATATTACACACAAATTTCTGAATGCTAGATTTTTAGGAAGTAATAATATGGCTCGGCGACACTAACTTCGAGCAATATTTTGACATTTCTAGCAGATCATGCTATAAGTACCTCTTGCTCTTCATTTCTTCCCTAATTACTTGGAATCAGCTGGTAGCTAATATATATTAACTTTGCCTATAAAAATATAATAATCCATGACTTTCTTTAAATACTTGTGGACCAATATGAAAATCAGAAAATGTAAGTTGACCCACAATTTAAGGTTACGCACATGGTTATATTCATTTCTTCCAGCATATATATGGCACAATAGCTCCTCCATCAGAGTCTCTAGATACTACTAAATTGATTCCAAGTAAAATGTTTTTTTGTTGATGAGTACTTTTAAGGCCTTGCTTTTCCTGCTTATATTGGCTAGCACATTTCCGTAATTAAAGAGATTTGAAAAGCAAGAAAAATCACTTCTTTTATCAGGCTTCTCCAAGTACAAACTATATATATATATATTGTTAAGAATTCCAACGGATTCAAGCACACGAATCAACGGTTTGCGAAAAATAAGAATCAAACAAATAATCGGAAAAATAAATTCAATGCGGAATTATACGTAAAACAAGGAAGAAGAATAACGACACACAAGATTTACCCAGATTCGGATCTCAATGTAAGATCCTAATCCTGCAATATGGTGCTTTCGTCTACTATGATCAATAACAAATGATTACAAGAATGATACCAAGAGTATTCTCCAAAGAACCCTTCTCAATTCTCTCTCACTCTCTCATTTGTTATCTCTGGATTACAGCCACCAAGCCAACCCTTTCTCTATGTTTCCTAACCCTTAAATAACCCCCAAAGCCCTTTGTGTAGCCTCCAAGACGTGCCCTAGTCGATTGGTATGTTTCCCAACCAAAAAGGAAATTTCGGCCAAAAAACTCGCAGTTTCCGTTTTGCTGATTTCGCACCAACGCCACTCATACAGCCACCAAGCCAACCCTTTCTCTATGTTTCCTAACCCTTAAATAACCCCCAAAGCCCTTTGTGTAGCCTCCAAGACGTGCCCTAATCGATTGGTATGTTTCCCAACCAAAAAGGAAATTTCGGCCAAAAACTCGCAGTTTCCGTTTTGCTGATTTCGCACCAGCGCCACTCATCCAGCGCCGCAGCGCTACTTCATGTAGCCCGCAGCGCCAAGGCGCTGCCAAACCAGCGCCAAAGCGCTTATCTCTCTGTCCACGCAAAGACTAACTTAGAGACAGGCCACGGCGCCAAAGCGCTGCCAAACCAGCGCCAAAGCGCTCACCTCTCTGTCCGCGCAAAGATAAACTTAGAGACATTCCTCACATATATATATATATATAAATTGTCTCTAATTCGACACTAAATTAGAGCGGCACATGTATGTTTTCTTTAAAAATATGTATATTTCTTCTTAAAAATATGTATATTTTCTATTAAAACATGTATAATGTGAGGAATCGTCTATAATTTATCTAAACACTTATATACATGTTTTAAGTAGAAATATACATATTTTTAAAAGAAATATAGTGACTCCAATCCGGTACCAATTAGAAACTTTACCTATATTATATATATATATATATTTATTAAATGATATAATATCTTGGTCAAATATTGATTATCTTTTTCTTGTTCTTCTCCACACCTTCTACTCCTTTTGCTCTTTCCATCCTAATTCCTTCTCCACCACCTCGAGTACCACCAATGTCTTCAATCTCACTTCCCCTATGGAGAATACACCACCCAAATGTCCTCCGAACCGCCCACCGGTAACTCAGAAACTACACCCGACCTGCCGGCGGAGTTCCTCACTTTCACCTCGGGACAAACACTTCCCTTTGGATACAACTCCAATTTCGACTCCGACACCATCTACCCGTCCGTTGGCGAAGCATGCAACTCTTTTTCCCGACGATCTCCGCCGCTTCATGTCTTACAATGTCAACGGCTCTTGCCCGGATGACGAGCTTCTAGCACAGAAGCTCCTCCTCAAGGGCTGTGAGCCACTCCCCCGCCGCCGTTGCAGCCCCGCTGCTCCGTCCCGCTACGAGGAGCCCTACCCTCTTCCGGAAAGCTATTGGACCACCCCGCCGGACTCCTCCGTCCTGTGGACAGCCTACTCATGCAAGAACTACAGCTGCCTCGTCAACCGCAAGCGCAACCAGAAGGGCTTTGACGACTGTAAAGACTCTGAAGATCTGGAAGGCGCCGAGAAGACTCAACGGACGGCTAAGGAAAGCCCCGTTGGCGTGCTCGACTTCGCCATTGATGAGGTATTGGCGACGAGAAAGCCAGTATACTATTTGACGGAACGACACAATGCTCCTACCAAATAACAAAAGAAAAAAAAAAAAAAAAAAACCCAACCGCATAAATTACGTGATAAGATTTGGTTGAGGCTTTTAGCTCAAAATTTAAGAAACTAATCTTGCTCAATTCTAGATTTTATACATAGAGAAAGACACATGACATAAAGTAAACAAAGAAGAAGAAGAAGTTATACATAGAGAAAGGCACATAAACAAAGAAGAAGAAGAAGTTATACATAGAGAAAGACACATGACATAAAGTAAACAAAGAAGAAGAAGAAGTTATACATAGAGAAAGACACATGACATAAAGTAAACAAAGAAGAAGAAGAAGAAGATCCTAATTGATACATTCTACAATACTTTGTTAAATTCATAAAAAAAATAATAATTTGCTAATATTAGTTTAGAGGGTTATTTATTCTTTGTCAAATGTAGTAATAAAAAAAAAAAAAAAAAAAGAGTAACAATTTCAGTTGTGTTTACTGCAGGTACTTATAGTTTGTGAATTGTGAAAAGTTGAGGAAAAAAAAAGACGTGCCTTAAATATATGTGTATGTGTGTAGAACTGTAACAATTTCAGTTGTGATTACAGCAGGTACTGTCCGAATTGGGCTCGACATCGGCGGCGGCGCGGCGACATTTGCAGTGAGAATGATGGAGAGGAACATAAAGATCGTGAAGACTTCAATGAACTTGAACGGGCCTTTCAGCAATTTCATAGCGTTGAGAGGGGTGGTACATAAGCATTTCGCGGAGGCTTCCTTTCTTCGACAAAACGTTTGACATCGTCCACTCCATGCACGTCCTCTGCGACTGGATTCCGACGACTCTGCTTCATTTATTGGTGCTCGACATCTACAGAGTGCTCAGGCCCGGAGGGTTCTTCTGGCTCGACCATTTCTTCTGCGCCGGAGACCAGTTGGAGGAAATCTATGCGCCGCTGTTTCAGAGCGTTGGCTTCAACAAGTTGCAGTGGGTCGTTGGCAGGAAGCTCGATCGTGGTCCCGAGCTTAGGGAGATGTACCTCTCCGCTTTGTTGGAGAAGCACTTAAACAACTCTTGGTCATGATAATTATTGTAAAATTGTTGATAAAATATTGTAAAATTTATATGCTCTCACTTTTCGTTTGTTCAAGAAGTTGAACTTTAGCATAATGCAAAATTTAATTATACAATACTCTCCATTCGGTTCCCTTCGTTTCTGTTATATATTTTAGTTTTTTAATCGATTATAGGATGCCCCATTTGTTTTTATATGTATATTTTTTGTTTTGGTTCAATGCAGGTAATATTTATTTTCGAAGTTTGGCGCAAACGCTAACAACATTGTTGTGCAGACACAGGAATAAAATTTTTTTTTTCTTGGGAATTTGTTTTTCTGAATTATTATAGTGTTGTTAATCTCGACTCTCGAGCCATTATCCTTTTTTTTCATATTTGAAAGAATAAGGTTCAAACACGCACTTGCAGATTCTGGAAAACACAAAAATCACATTACATAACCAGAAGCAAAAGTAAAAAGCCTAATGTTTAGTGGCCAAACAAAGTAAAGTATTCCGAAACCATACTCATTCAATTTCAGTAGTAACATTCTCAGTTTCACCATCTGGATGGGCGTCTGGGATCATAAGCTGCCCGAGAGAGATACTATTAAAACGCCTAGCTAAGAGTCCTTTATATCTGCAAGCAATGAATTGTTGAGAAACCTGCTTCATTGTCGGTCTACACTTCGGTTCCGCATTTATGCATGCAAATGCCAAAGAAGCAACAAGAACAACATCACGCACAACAATGGGGTTTCTCGGCGGTGGCAGGCGTCGGTCTAATACTTCACTTAGCATCATATTTTCTGCCGGCGACGACAATAGTTCTCCTGGATGCCTTCCTATTAATGTTTCTAGTGCCACCACACCAAAACTATAGACATCACATCTTTCGCTTACAGTCACGTTGTAGGCAAGTTCTACATGCAGAACAAGTACAATTAGTGTCAAATGAAACATTTTTTCCCCTCCATTACTCACTATCTCAACGCTTAAGTAATATTCAACATTTTTTTTAAGCTTTTCAAGAAATCCATAAAGTAGAGAAACTAGGAGCATGAGGAAGGGACAGAGAACGGTACTTACCAGGAGCGATATACCCGTAAGTCCCGACAATCATGGTTTGGTTTGAGGAATCGGGATCAAGTAGCTTGGCTGTGCCGAAATCAGACACGCATGCCTCGAGTTCTGAGTTCAATAGAATGTTAGCACTTGTTAAATTACGATGAACAATTGGCCGACTACAATCGTGATGCAGGTAAGACAATGCATGAGCTGTGCCTTTGATTACGTTCACCCTCTTGCTCCAATCTAGTTCCACAGCTTCTGCATCGTTGCTTAAGATAGAAAACAAGCTTCCCTTTTCCGTGTACTCGAAAACCAAAAACATGCACCTGTGGTGCAAACAAAATAATCCATAGAGTTTGGCAATGTTTCTATGACGTATTTCGGTCAATGTTTCTACCTCAGTCACGAAACTCTTCGGTAAAGCTTGCTCTTCAGCATCGGATGCATGAAGGTTCTTCAGGGCAACTACTTTCCCACTAGGTAGTTGTGCTCTGTATACACTGGCATTACCGCCGTGTCAAAGTCCTCTGTTGCTCTTACGATGTCTTCATATGCAATCTTTCCATCATAATTCATATTGAAAATATGTCTCCATTCTTTGTTGCTCCATTATCAGGTTGCCTATTTCTGTTTCCAAACCGACGTTTGACTACTTAAAATGATGTGAAGAATATTGAAGCAAGAAAACTGGCGATGACTGAAAGAATGATTTTGGCGTTGTAGCTAAATCCTTTACTTGTTGGCACGTTGGCGCACGCGAGAACTCCGGTGCCACAATACAAATCCTCGATGCCGTTAAATGGCTCATCTAGAAAAGAGTAACATGGAGGATCAGCATGCATGATCTTGCCAAGATAGTTGCAGGCCAACTCATTGCCTCGTATAGGAGGTAATTCCGCGGGAATCAAGTCGTGACTAAAGTCAAGGATATCGAGCCTACCAACATTATATATTTCGAAGGGAATGCACCCCTTTAATCTGTTCCAGGAAAGCTTTAAATGTTGCAGACCTGTCAATTGAGTAATATGTTTTGGCACTCTCCCAGATAGTTCGTTAAGTGAGGTCCAATTCCTTGAGATTTTTTAGTTTTCCAATTGTTGGACCTATGAACCCATTTACTCAATTTGAGCTTAGGTAAAGAAAACTAAGATTGGCTGCTAAACCACTGAGAGATGGAAAAATTGGACCTATGAGCTTGTTAAAACTAAGATCCAAACGAGCTAAATTCTTCAAATTCCCTATTTCTAAAGGGATTGAACCACTTAGTTCGTTTGAAGAAACGTGTAACTCAGACAACTTGATCAAGTGACCCAAAGTTGTAGGAAGTGGTCCTTGGAACACATTGTCACTAAGGTCTGGGAGAGTCAAATTCTTTAGGCTCCCTATTTCTGTGGGGATGAGACCATTAAACATGTTCTTGTTTATGTTCAAGAATGAAGGGCTTTCTAGATTACCGATTTGTGGACGGAGGGAACCGCCAAATTTGGTTAAACTCGAGATGAAGCTCCAGCAAATTGGTCAAATGACCCAAATTTGAAACAACTGAACGGTTGATTTTGTTGAAGGAAAGTGATAGATAAACTAATTTACTCGAGTGACCCAAAGTGGAGGGAAGTGGTCCATTAAGCATGTTATGAGACAGATCAAGAGAGACCAAATTCTCCAAGTTTCCTAATTGGACAGGAATGGAGCCGCTAATTTTATTAGATGAGGCGTCAAGTTGTACTAATTGGGTGAGCCTCAACATTGAAAGGGGTAGACGGCCTTCAATTTGATTAGTTGACTTATCGTGTGGCATGTGTAGCTAATCCACCACCCACTTCCAAGCGGAGCCTGAGCTCCTCTGTTCAGTGATGACCATGGCTCGAATGCGGCCACGGTTACGATTGTGAATGATCCGTGAGAGCTAAGTGTATGGAGAGAGAGTAAAGCCATGCTCCTGAGGAAGTGGGAAAGGAAACAAAAGGGGTTATCTTCTGTTATTTCTTCAATTGACATGTTTGATTAGTTGGAGTTTATATTCTTCAGTCAGCGTCTGGCTGATGCACCATTTTTAATGCCCCTCCAGCATCGGCAGATGAGGTTTTAGGCTTTGTTCAAGAGGAAAATGGGAGTTTGTGTCATTATTCTTTTTATGAAACAATTGTTAACTCTTTTCTAATAGAAACAAAACTTCAATCCTAGCATTAGACAATTTCTTTCTTTCTATTTTTTATTCCCTAAAGTTTTGTAAGAACAAGATGGAAAGTAATGTGGCAGATGGTCGATTCAGCAGAATTGCACTACATGCGTTTCAAATTTCACGTTATGTTATTCATCTGGTTCAATTTTCCACTATAAACTCTTGAATTTCTATTCCCGTGTGTCTTGCCCCTCCTTGTACTCTTAGAACAACTTCGTCTCCAACTTTGAGCGACGTCACAGGAATTGCAGCATTTTGCAATCCGTCTCCTGCGGAAAATAAACAATCAGATTCAGCTACTACTAAAAGATCAGAGAAAAAGAATCAAACTTTAAATATATATATATATATATATATATAGTAACAATAAAGAAAGAAAGAAACCTTGGAAGGGGGATACTAAGGCAACTGTTTCTGCATTCTGTAGAAGGATGCTGTATAGAGTTTGACTATCTGAATCCAGCTGCAACAACACAAAAATTATCAGCATCAAACAAAAACATTCTGCTTCATTAGCGAAAGGAACTAGATCTAGCAAGGCAACAATTCTGCTTCGTTAGCAAAAGGAACTAGATCTAGCAAGGAATGTTGCCTTTTCTCCTAGAATATCACACAAATTCTGAGACTTAATTACTACACATAAATACCAATGAAATTTGCATATGGTAAGATTACCAGTTCTTACAGACCTTTGCCTCGACAAGGATTAGTGGTCTAGTCTCAATCTTCACTCGCCCAACAATGGCATTCCGTTGCTGGCCTTTTTGGTTAACCACAATTACCTCTTTGCCCACTTTTAATTCTGAGAGGTAGCATGTTTTTCCTCCCGGAATAGCAACATAGGCATGTACAGGTCCCTGCAAGTTTCCAAAATGTATCACATAATGGCCACTAAAGGAAAGCTAGCTTTCAAAGCATATTATCTAGGTAAAAATAATAGCTTGGAACTCACTGCATTAACTCGAAAAGGTCTGCTTGCAATGTAATTCCACTCTAAGCATTCGGAGTGGACAAGGAACAGTCCTCTTGCAAAGGATCCAACCTATCAAAGATACTCGTGACATAAGAAAGACAACATCCAGATATGATTTGATCAAATTAATAATCAAGAGAAAAACACAACGTTTGAGCTTTGACAAGAAAGTGGAAGCTTACAAGGAGCCCTTCACCGGGCCTCATGATGCTACAGAGGTCGACGCAAACGCGATCCCCCATCCCAGCCACTTGAACTCGAGTTATGGTGGCCTTGGTCAAGCTCAATATGTTGCTCATATCATTTCTTCTGTCAAAATATTCCTGAAGACATTAAACCAAGGTAAGAACAAATGGCACTGTACTACTCAAGAAGTCATTTCACAAGTACAAGTTACCTTTAGCTCAAGAATAGCTTTCGCATCCTCAACTTTCAAAACAACTCCACCCAGCCCTTGCTCCAATGCCTGCATAAATAAAGAGCAAACATGTATCGAACCTATTTATAATCTCTCAATAATATACCCTGATTTTGTACCTCAAGGAAGATTTGTGCTTCAGAAGAATTTTTCGAGATTGCGAAAACTGTTCTATCACTTCCTTGAAATGCCGCAACAATATTCTCTGCGGGAATCACCTATGCAACAAAAATAATCACAAAATAAAACTTTTGCGTTTCTGAAACAAAAATATGGAGTTTTTATGCATAATCCTCTCATTGTTACTCGATTTATCAGTCTCTCTATATCACATAACTCCATAGAAACCATAGATTGTTTGCATAAAGAGAGTCAATTTCCAATACAAAATTACCTGCCAATCTAGTAAGTCTACAACAACATTCTCTCCCAAACCTTTTTCAGGTTGAAGCAGCTCTAACTCTTGGTTATTCGAAATCCCAAAAATCGATCCAATTCTTTTGTTCTCACCATCAAAAATCCCTCCTTCTTCAAGATAAAGAGGCGATATAACCGCAATTGCTGCAAAAAAAAAAAAGAAAAAAGAAAAAAAAAACCATTCAAATGGGTAAAGCTATAATTCTAAAAGTTTTCTGGTTTCATCAAAATTCCGATAAGCTTACAGGACCAGTCATCGGAAAGTTTCCGACTTTCAGGGGAGAAGATGAAGGTATTCCAGCCTCTCTCCACGGCGGCGGTCATGACCTGCTTGTTCTCCGTCCATATCCACACCCTCTTCGATGGCCCCGAGGAATACGACCTCGTACACGAACTCATCGTCACAACCACTGGTCGTGTTCGAGTTTTAGGAAAAATAATCTGCAATTAAGGTTCCATTTCTCTGCGAACATTAATCGGAAGTAAACAAAAACAGGAAAGCGCAAATGAAAATGCAGCTATTGGGGCGTACAAGGTTAAAAGCCATTGTCGAAAGAACGAACCTTTACGGGTAGTGAAGGAGGGACGTTTTCTGGGGATGCTGACCACGGAAGCTGAATACACCATAGCCATGTTTGTACTTGTTCGTACAATCTACAAGAGTCCATATAGTCCGATGGTGTGGCAGACAGAAACGACATTGCTAAACCAGAAAAAGTCAATGCCGTTTCTTTCTATAAACGACAGTGATTTTCATGACAGGGATGTTTACCGTTAAGTCGTAAAATAACATGTTGTTCCATCAACTAAACGATGTAGAATTCCGAATACATGCTTCAAAAGTTTGTACAAACGACAGCAAAAGGCCCTGTTCACTTTGTTATTTCAAATCACAACTTTAATTTTTATTATAGTATTTTTTATAAAAATTTAAATTTAACCTTTCATGCTACAACAGGTACACTTCTGCTTATTAACATTTTATAAAATTTAAATTTAACCTTTTTAGAAGTTGATTTTTTCATAGCCTTTATGAATTTGATTTTGAAATTTTTGTTTTAAGTTGAAATTTTGATTTGGATGATTCTTAAGTATATGACCATATGAGGAATTAAAATGACTTTAGAAATTTAATTTAAGATTCGGATGATTCCTATGTAGAATTTGATTTGAATCTGAAAATTGTGACTGCACTTAAATTTTGTATCTAGTTACCTACTATCCGGAATGGAATCATGTTTCGTAATTCTTGAGTTTTTTTTTTTTTTTTTAAATTTAAAGTTTAAGATTTTGTGAACTTTTTTTCTTTTTTTTATTTATTTATTTGGTGAAAAACCTCTTTAAATTTTGGGGCAAGTTTTCATTTGATTTGAATTTTGAGAATCTACTTGAAACTATATTTGAGTCTGTTCCAAAATTAAAATTTGAAACTTGTTGATCCATGTGAAAGAAATATATTCCTTTAATTTCGTAACAAGAAATTAGATTTGTTCTTGTTATCACTTTGCTTTGCCTATATAAGAGAGGTTTTGGACTCTTTTGCATGTCCTGAAGAGAAGACGTGTCATCTGTGGTGAATGTTTTTCTTTCTTCTCTTATTCTTTTCTTTTCTTCTTTCAACAGCTTTTCAGAAAACTTGAGAGACTCCCTTTTTTGTGTTACATGGCAACATTATTTACATATATAAATGATATGTGTGTGTGTGTGTGTTTTTTTTTTTTTCTCTTGCAGACGTTAGTGGAATTGTGAAAATCAAAGTTGGAGAAAACGTATGTCAGTGTCTCCTCGTTCTCTTCTCTTATATATTTACACACACATATATATGTATGATGTATACATATATGATTCATTTGTTTTTTTTTTTTTCAGGCGTAGAAATCAGCCTATTCCTTGTGGCAATACAAACTTTTGATTGAAGATGCCTGTTTAGTTCGCTGATTCGAGTTTTTAATTCGAGTTGAGATGTGATTTTATGTGAGAGCTTTTTATTGTAACAAAAAAGTTAAATGTGATTGTTTGTGAGAGTTTTTTTACTGTAACAAAATTTGAATTCTAAACTCGAATTAACGAAATAAATGGGGCGACGTCAGTACAATAATCTCCTCTTTGTTCATTTTTATTTTCTTTTATATTATTGCCTTTAATGAACTTTTATTAGGCTGTACCATTTATGGTGAGATTTTTCCAGGCTGTAAGTTTTTCTTGGCTGTACTATTATAGTCAGATCTTTATTTTTTGCACTTGAAATTTAACAAATTACAATCTCAATTTTCTTGTACATAAAGAGTTTAAAAAAAAAAAAAATTACAGCTCCATATTTTGAGAGGTTCAAAACATTACAACCTCTATTATTGCACTTGAGATTCAACAAATTACAACCCCAATTTTTCTGTGCATAAAGAGTTTAAAAATTACAACTCTATATTTTTTAGAGGTTCAAAACATTACAACCTCTATTTTACACTTGAAATTCAACAAATTACAATCTCAATTTTTCTTATGCATGAAGAGTTTTTGAGAGGTTCAAAACATTACAACCTCTTTTTTTGTACTTGGGATTCAATAAATTACAATCCCAATTTTTTTTACATCAATGAGAATAGTAACCAAATGGTATAGATTCCAAAATTATTGAGGAGATTGCTAACCAAATGGTATAGAACTCCTAAAAGTTTGAAATGTATTGTTATTTATTTTTATCTTTGAGGAGTTGCTAACCAATCGGTATAGAACTCCCCAAAAACTTGAACTGCACTCTTTGAAAGGTTACGAACCAAACGGTATAGAAACCATTTTCTTCTTTTCTTATGCAGAAAGTGATAGAAAAGAAAAAGATAATAAAAAGGAGATAATATACAATACTTACTTTTTTTTAACCTTATGATGACAAACCGTACATTCTCTCTCTTTCTTTCTCTCACACTTTTTTTTTAAGGCCTAGTTCATTTCACCGATTCGAGTTTTTAATTTTAAATTTTTACAGTAAAAAATTCTCAAAAAATATTATATCTAACTTTTTTTACTACAGTGAAAATTTTTTTAAAAATATTACATCTCAGCTTAAATTAAAAACTCAAATTTACAAAATAAACGAGGCATTTAACTCCATCTATTTGCTGACACTTTTCTGTACTTTTTGCAATCTGCACACACGCTTTTCTTTTTCTCCCCCTAACACACACGCACTAATTTTGGCAGAGGCTCAAAAGTCCATTTTCTTTTACTATTTATAGATAAAATTAGTTTAATTTCTTAATTTTTAAGTTGAGATGTAATTTATTTAAAAATTTGTAATAAAAATTTAAATATAATTATTTTTAAAATTTTTTTACTGTAATAAAATTTAAAATTTAAATTTAAATTAATAAAATAAACGACTATTAATTTTTTTTGTCTATCCAATCACCTTGAACATGATTGATTCTCTTTTCACTTTACTAACACGTGATTGGCTGTATTTTATTCTCAAGAATTATCTCCACATGTCTTGCATATGATTGGCTAATTCTTTCACACGCAGATTGTAAATAAAGAACTACTCCACAAGGCAGTTATTTACCTTTATCAACACATGTCGTAAATAATATTCACGTGCAAAGCATGATATTTATTTATTATTTTCTTTTCTTTTATTTATTTTAATTATTTTTTTGTGTTTACTCTCACACACTTTTTTTTTTTTTTTGGGGTTCAACACAAGTCTTATTAAAAGAAGCATTTTTTTTTTTAATTTGCTGAAATTAAAAGAGGAAATATTTGATTATATGCGCAGTGTTATAAATCGAGCAATGAATCCCCACTCATTGCATCTCCCTCTTCACATTTATTATCTCATCCCTTTAGGCCCGAATTTTACACTAAACTCTCAATTCAGAAGGCAAATTGTTATTCTCTTTCAAACTTAGTGAAAGATATGGCATAAACTCACGGAGCTTTAGTTGAAAACTTGAACAGCATAACATGATTGTAAGGCTTTCCGGGGCTAACAATAGTTGAGGGAAAATCGGGGTGATTCACGGCATCAGGGAATCCTTGAGTCTCCAAACACAGTCCCGCGTGAGCTTCATACACAGCTCCACCTTTTCCCTTGACATCCTTGAGAAAGTTACCGCTGTAAAACTGCACGCCAGGAGCGCTTGTTGACAGCGCAAGGGACCTTCCTGACTTGCTGTCGTACACCACGGCCACCCGCTTCAGCTTCTTGTCGGAGGCAGGGCCGTCGAGGACATAGTTAATGTCGTATCCTTTAGGGAGCTTCTTGATCCTGCTTCCGACGAGATGCGGTTTCAGGAAGTCGTATGGCGTCCCTTTTACAGGCGCAAATTTGCCGGTGGGAATGAGTTGGCTGTCGACAACGGTGATGTGGGAGGCGAAGATCTTGATTTTATTGGAGAGGATGTCGCCACTGTTGTGACCTCCGAGGTTCCAGTACGTGTGCTGAGCTAAATTCACTGGGGTGGGCTTGTTTAGAGCCTTTGCTTCCATTTTCACCTTCAATCGCTTGTCTCCAAAGAGAGTGTATTTGACACTGACCAGAAGATCACCGGGAAAGCCTGTAGAGCATTGCATGATAACAACTGAGTTTTACAGAAAATGCAGTTACAGACAAAGGTGGTTTGAATGAATTCAAGACAAGGTGTTTCCTTAAGCCTAGTTTTCCTTGTCATCATCACCGAAAATCCTCGATCGGTGAAAATTATTGCCAAATTTGTTAATTTAAGATACTTGTTCGCTATAGATCCGAGAAACCGAGTGAAAAGAGAGGCCTACCTTCTTCGCCATCAGAACTGTGATATGTAAACACAATGGAAGGAGCATCACCCTCATTGTCATACTTTTTCACTTTCCAAACAACGTCACTAAATCCTCTTTTGCCACCTGATACAGTTTCAATAAGTTAATAAAGCAAACAGTTACATTTTTCTAAACATTTACAAGAAATAATCTTAAGAGAAAGAAATCGAGTTTGAAAATAGGATAGTAATACCATGAAGCGTGTTTTTTCCTTCGTTAGCAACTACGCTATAATGTTTGCCTTCCAATGTGAACTGAGCACCTCCGATTCTATTTGCAAACCGTCCGACGACCGCACCGATGTATGATGAATCGTTCTGAAAACATTGGAAATTACAGGTCAAGAAAGTGAAGCAATTTTTTTAAGAGACACTGTTGAACAACATGCTCTCTTGTTTTCCCTTACATTCAAACACACACACACACACACAAATATAAGATGAGATCTGTACACAACTTCTTTTTCTTCTTTAAATCACACCAAAATAATATATATATATATATATATGAAAGTAGGCAATTTCTAATACTGACAGTTGAAAAATAGAACTTTAATGATAGCGCATTTTTCTAGATCTTACTGTAGAAATCTCTTTGTTTTAATCATATAAGTTCAGATGATAAGTTCGGAGATCAACCTTTGTTAGGTCCATATGCCACCAGTGGAATCAACTATTATTGTCAAAGATGCAGTTTTTAGTAACATGATTGACTGTTTAAGTCAATTGGGATTTTTTTTAACAGGGATCTGATAAAACAACTAGATTGTTACACCTTCAATGACATGATACTAAAATATAAAATGTACAGAAAAGGGTTGTTCGTTTGAAGTGTAATTTGAGTATAGTTTTTGAATTGAATTTGAGTTATAACTTGAATAAAGTTGAATAAAATTGAAACTTAAAAGAACGTGAACTTGAATAAAATTATAACTTGAGTTTAAACTTTTTCTGAATTTTGTTGCAAAAGAACAACTCTTATAAATAAGGTTTATTGTGAATCTAGGAATTCAAAGCTATTCCAGTTGGCATAAACATGTTATGTTGACTTGTCTGATACAATATTCAATCAATCCCAACTTGCCACGTTCCTAGGGGAAGAAAATTAACCCCCTTTCTTCCATAAATCCGTGTTCTCAATTTATTAACTTAGAACTCGTTTAATTGATTGATTTGAGTTTTTAATTTTAGTTGAGATGTGATTTTATATGAGAGTTTTTTATTATAATAAAAAAATTAGATGTGATTTTATGCGATAATTTTTTACTGTAATAAAAAAGTTAAATATAATTATTTTTAAGAATTTTTTATTATAATAAAATTTAAATTTATAAAATGAACGAGACTTTAATATATTTTATTGGCTCAGTCTTCAAAAATATTAAAGTCCAATAATTATTATAATGCAAAATTGAAAATTCAGAGAACTCTGGATGTATATAGATAGAACACAGTCATAAGTAGTCGAGTCAAAATTATTTTAAATTACAATAAAAATTATTATATAAAAAGACCATTTTAGTAAAAAGGTCTAAGCATCTCGAGAAAATTAAAACCGCCATTTTCGGAATTGGAACAAAAAGGGTTTTACAGATAGCTAATTTTTAATTTATTCCATTTTTTTTTCTATAACTATGATACTAATTACTATGAACAGTATGATATTATACCAAATCAAAATGTCCCTGTGGTGATAATTATACTTCCATAACAGAGCTAGAAAAGATACATGAACAGCAGATAAAAAGCTTATCAAATTATTTGCAAATAAAATGGATTCAAGCAATGATTTTAAGACAACGGATTCATTCCAAAAATTCAATTATAGAAGTCATGAAAGTCAGGAGATGCATAGCGGAATATGAATCTCCCTACCATGCAAAAATTCCACATAAGAAGAAATAAAACAGAGAGAGAGAGAGAGAGAGAGAGAGAGAGAGAGAGAGAGAGAGAGAGAGAGAGAGAGAGAGAGAGAGAGAGAGAGAGAGAGAGAGAGAGAGAGAGAGAGACTAACCATGTACTCCTTCAATGAATCATACCCAAGAACCACATCAGCAAGCTTTCCTGAAAAACCCACCACCCAAAAATAAATAAATTAATTAAATAGCATAAAAGAAGAAAAATAAAATCTTGATGAAGAACCAGACTTTTTCCATAATCCACAGAAAAGGAGAATTCAGAACAAACCGTATCTGTCAGGAAGAACGAGAGAGATAATGGAGGCACCCCAGTTGGTGAAATTAACAGAAAAATCACCCTTTTTCAACTCATAAGTGTGAACTTCTTGCTTTGCTGAAGAAACATTGGGCATCACCATAGAAGAACCAATGGCAAGAATTATGAAACAAAGCAGCACAGAGATATTGGTCATTTTTCTTTTCTTCTTTTTTTGAGAGAGGGAGATTAATATCAAAGATGTGACTCTGATTTCACAAAAATGGCTAAATATCAAAATGGGTTTGTGTGTGAATTAGGGTTGGACAGAGATGGAGAGATTTTTGAATGAGTGCACCGTAAGAAAAATGTGATGATGCTATCCAAAAAGATAGAGAGCTCGTTTCACCTTTTTGGTAATACTCTTGCCAATAGTAAAGGCTTTATAATGAGACGAGATTCTTGATCGTCCAGATTTTGGTCCCCCTAAAATTTATTATCCAGAATTAATACTATTTTTGGACCAAACTATGTTAATCTATCTATTGCATTAAAAAATTTTTTTTTTTTTTTTTTTCAAAACAATAAAAAAGATTTATATCCAATAATCTTATTATAAGCCAGTTCAGTCGGAATCTTTTGTCAGGTATTATCGGAAGTGACAGATAAGACCACGAAAAGTCATACGTCTAATTGCTAAAAATTAAAATCAGTCGTTTTTTTTGAGTAGCCGAGTTTGTCAAACTCGGACGTCACACGTCAAATAATGTTTCAACGGAAAGAAAGGAAAAAAAATCGCATGTTAATATTGAAATATATGCCTTAGCCGCCGTAACGACTTTGTGTTTTATTTTAAAACAGCGTTAGTGTAATAAAAATAAAAATAATTTTTTAATTTAGTGTAAAATTAGAGAGAAATAAGAGAGATAATGGAGGCACCCCAGTTGGTGAAATTAACAGAAAAATCACCCTTTTTCAACTCATAAGTGTGAACTTCTTGCTTTGCTGCAGAAACATTGGGCATCACCATAGAAGAACCAATGGCAAGAATTATGAAACAAAGCAGCACAGAGATATTGGTCATTTTTTCTTTTCTTCTTTTTTTGAGAGAGGGAGATTAATATCAAAGATGTGACTCTGATTTCACAAAAATGGTTAAATATCAAAATGGGTTTGTGTGTGAATTAGGGTTGGACAGAGATGGAGAGATTTTTGAATGAGTGCACCGTAAGAAAAATGTGATGATGCTATCCAAAAAGATAGAGAGCTCGTTTCACCTTTTTGGTAATACTCTTGCCAATAGTAAAGGCTTTATAATGAGACGAGATTCTTGATCGTCCAGATTTTGGTCCCCCTAAAATTTATTATCCAGAATTAATACTATTTTTGGACCAAACTATGTTAATCTATCTATTGCATTAAAAAATGTTTTTTTTTTTTTTTTCAAAACAATAAAAAAGATTTATATCCAATAATCTTATTATAAGCCAGTTCAGTCGGAATCTTTTGTCAGGTATTATCGGAAGTGACAGATAAGACCACGAAAAGTCATACGTCTAATTGCTAAAAATTAAAATCAGTCGTTTTTTTTGAGTAGCCGAGTTTGTCAAACTCGGACGTCACACGTCAAATAATGTTTCAACGGAAAGAAAGGAAAAAAAATCGCATGTTAATATTGAAATATATGCCTTAGCCGCCGTAACGACTTTGTGTTTTATTTTAAAACAGCGTTAGTGTAATAAAAATAAAAAATAAAAATAAAAATAATTTTTTAATTTAGTGTAAAATTAAAGAGAAATAAAAAATAATTTTTTATTATTTTTTATTTTTTATTTTTATTTTCTTCTCTTTCGAGTAGAGAGAGAGAAAGAGAGACATTAATGTGTTTTTTTATATTGAAAATAATTTCTTAATAAAACTACTAAACGCATTTTCAAAAATAATTTCTGTCTGAGACGTTTTCATCTTTATTTTTATACAAAAAATAAAATTATTTTGAAACGAGTTTCAAACGCGCCTTATAGATTTATCATTTTGAATTTTATTTATTCGAAATAGTCAAATACTCAATAGTTAGTTGTAAGATCCCTTAAAAAAAAAAAACAAAAAAAAAAAATCATTTGCTGCTGGAGTTACGCGATTTATCCCATATTTTTAGGCCATATTTATATGTTGTTAGCGGCTAACTAATATTCCCTTGTATTTTTAGGTAGTAATCTGTGGATTTAAGTCATTGAATGAAATCTAAAATGGCAGTCGATAAATCATTATCTTGTTTGTACTATTGAATTGAAAGGTTGTGAGTTCGTCCAATGAACCTATTAATAAAGGTCAAAGCTCTCTCAATTGAGTCCATATATAGATATTTATTAGTTACGAGTTTGTAACAGGCGCCTAATTAACGTAAGGCTCTAATATTGCACCGCTGATTGTTTGGTGGGACCATTAATCTACTTGATTTTTTCGGATAAGATTTTGAATTCATATTTACAATTTATTGACAATTCATTTCAGTAATACCTTATGAGTTTGTTCGCAGTCGGTTTAGGCATTTTTTTAGAAAACTACCGATCAAGCTATTTTTCCTTTTTGACGGGTTGTTATTTTTAACAAAAACCAAATTAAATTGAAAGCGGTTTGGACAATTTAAACGTAAAACTAAAAAGTTTTCAACACAAATGTTATAAAATTGTCCATCCAAAAAAATAAATATAACATTCAAAATTTACAATCTAATTCCAAAATAACAAATGTCTAGAATTCACCCTCCAAAGTTTTGATACAAACTTACAACCAAATTAAAAAGTCACAAGTGCACAAACCAAAATTCACTTGTAATCAACTTTTTTTTTTTTCATGTCTAAACTTTAGCAACCATGAAGTCATGAACCAACAAACTTTTAATACAAACCAACAAAAAAAGTCTTTATCGGAAAAAGTATAAGTTTAGCTATTCAATGTGGTAAGGTATATTTTATTTAGTGTGGAACATATTTATGGCAAAAAAGATAAAAAGATATTTTAATTAAAACTATATAAACATTATGGGCTTGTTCTTTGAGCGAAAAATTCAAAAAAAAGGCAACTCGAGTTACAACTTTATTTGAGTTCATGTTCTTTTAAGTTTAAACTCGAGTTCAAACTTGAGTTTAGGACTAAAACTCGAGTTCAAGTTTTCCTTTCAACTCGAGTTCAGAAACTCGAACTCAAATTAATGAACATTATTTTTTCTATTCTTAAAAATGCTATAACTTTTTCGTTTTAATTCTAATTGAGATGATTTTTTTTCTATGCGTTGACAACGAAAAGACGAATAAAACTCGACCCATATACCCTATTAAAATTTTTCATCAGCATTGAGTTTTTATTAAAATACTATTTAAATACAAATTTAAGTTTTGACTCACTCAAACACAAACTCAAAAATTTTTTTATCTCAAACCATAACTCAAATGTACACAACCAAACACAAACTCAAGTTACAAGTTCAACTCAAGTTATAACTCAAATTCAACTCAAAAATTATAAACTCCAAAAGAACAAGCTATAATTATATTTAATTTTGAGTGGTTTGGGTGACTTTAAACAAAAAATTACTAACCAAAGCACACACCAAAAATGATTATAAAAAACTACTCATTAAGCCGAAATTAACAAATAATTTTTAGTTAAATTTGATTTGGATCGATAGTTTTTCTCAACACCCCTAATGCCTTTGCCTTGCCTTTGCCTTGCCTCTCCGAATAATATGGATACACCATCTTCTATCTATAATCTAGACAACCGTTTCTTCTAAAGAAGGCCAGGTGTAGTATTATTGATTCTCTTTTGAGATATTTACATTTTTATACCTTATATTTTGGGTTTATCCAAAAATTATATATTCCATTTTTAATCTCATCAAATGTATATTTTTAAATTAGATCTAATACTCAAATTTATACATTTGCACAGTCAACTCTCCATTTTAAGCATAAAATACCTAAAGTAGCCTTAAATGAAAATGGAAAAAGAAAAAAATGAAAAAAAACTTTAAATTTACAGTTTTAAGCTTAAAAAATCCAAAATATCATTGAAATAGGTTTTTTTTGTGTTTTTAATTTTTAATTTTTGTAGTGTTGGAAAGTTTTAGTTTTATTTTCTCTCTTTTTCTTAAGGATAGTTTAATTAGTTTAAATATCAAAATTAATTATTGACTGAGATAAGAGATAGATTTATATATTAAATCAAATTTAAAGGTATACATTTGATGAGATAAAAATCCAAATGTATAGATTTTGAATCAACTTAAGACATAGGGTATAAAAATGTCAATATCGCTTCTTTTTTTTCCCTTTTATAAACTTTTTTTATTATAATTTAAAGATACTTCTGCTTAGGGCTGGCAATCTGGGTAGCGACACAACGACATGACTTGAAACTCACGCAAAATTAGCGGGTTTAGATTTATCATAAATAGGTTCAGGTCAAAATCAGGTCGAACCCGTGAAACACGATTACGTGTCATTTTCAGGTTGACCCGTTCACCCGTAATTAACCCTCCATAACCCGTTTATTAAACGTGTCATATTTAGGTAACACGAATACACAATCCATTTTTTGCCCGTTTGTTACCTAGGTTTAAAAATATTTCAACATTTCTACCTCTGCTTGCTAGGTTTTCTTACTTTTCTTCATTTTTTCGATCCAGAGTCCAGACTCAAATAATAAACAGGTCGTGTTCATATCAAGCCTAATCGTGTCAACTGAAGGGGTCAATACGATACGAATATGATCCGTCAACACAAATTGCCATTCCTACTTCTGTTAGGTAAAAAGAGAAGATACGACTGCACAGGACTGGTGGCTCCGGCGACTATACAAACCACCAACATAAAATACAACAAAAGAATCTCACCACCTTAAAATTGGGCACAATTGGCTAATGACGCTTTATAATTCAGATTGATCCACTATTGAACCGCACTTGAACTTGGGTCTTCAAGAACAAACTACGAGCGGGTTGGAATCTGCCGTTTAATATTTATTTTTTTTTTTGTTTTTTTTTTTTTTTTTTTTTTTATCTTTTCAATTATTGCTTACAAACTAATGTAATAACTTGAAAGTCTCATCAATTGGAAAGACTAGTTAAAATATAAATTATGTCAATTTACCTAAATATTCTCCTATATTGGAGCACAAACCTTGCATGTGAAATATTAAAAACTTAACGGGAATAGATTGAAAGTGTTTAATTGTCAATGTATTAATAGCTTAAGGTTAGTTATGTCAAAATAAAAGGAAAAAGGATCAAAGTGTCACCCAACGGTATCAATTACTTTTTAATTAATTCGTATTTTTTTTTATTGTTGTTGATTGTTGATTTGTCAGATTTGCATCTTTCTTAGGTCTCATTCATTTCACAAATTCGAGTTTTTAATTTTAGGTTTCTATAATTAAAAGCTCTTAAAAAATGTCACATCTAACTTTTTCTGTTACAGTAAAAAGCTCTCAGAAAATATCACATTTCAGCTCGAATCAAAA